TTTGCTTTTTTCTCTTTCTTCCCTCTCCCCCTTTTGTTATTCTTTGTCTTTATTTTTTCTCAGAGGATTAACCATTCCCAGGAAGAGTTGTACCCTCCAGGTCTAAGGCCCGACGATCGCATGCATCCACACTACCAGCAGGATTACCAGCACCGGGACCTGGACTACCAACACAGAGACCTTGACTACCAGAGAGGTCCACCAGGAGGTAAACAAAACAAATAAGAGGCTGAAAAGCCAGAGAGTTTAAATGAGGGACAAAAAGACGGAGACAGGAGGGTGACTGTCACTGTTAGATTATGTAATAGCTTAGTAGTTACTGACATTCAAATGTTCCTCTAAAATGTAGTGAGATCATATATTATCACTCTTTTCCCATTATATAATTTGTGATGATCAAAATATTTCATATAAAACCTGGGACAAGGTGGGGTTTGTAGAAGGTACGTTCGACAGTCTCTCTTTGTATCTACGCTGACTGTGTTTGTGTGTTCGTCTGCAGGTGTAGGAGGTCCCGACCACTGGGCTCCTCAGCCGCAGGCAACCTCCTCACTGGAGTCATCCACTTCTAGCCAGGAGCACCTCAACTTCTCAGTCTCCTCCTCCAGCAAGAACCAGAAGACTGGGCCAGGCCGATGGAAGACGCCCAACGCACCGCATGCCGTGCCACCACATTCGGCTCAGCCCCGCCCGCCCCCCCCCCCCCCCCCCGCCGCCAGCCCCTTACCCTGACGCCTACGACCCATACAGCCCGCAGTCTGATCTGCCTCTCCCGCCACCTCCCTCTGCTGTCACCTCGGTAACGGCGCAGCAAGCTGCTGACCGCAAGAAGCGTGAGGAGCAGCAGCGCTGGTATGAGAAGGAGAAAGCTCGGCTGGAGGAGGAGAGGTGGGGTTTTTAATGCTATAGATGTACTAGTATTTAGAGAGATATAGGTATAAATATACATGTTATATATTATTGTAATAATAATCATAATTTACTAGTTTTTAATGCTTCATATTTGTGTGTTCCAGCTAAACATTCAAATGGCTGAGATTTAAATTGTACAGTTAAAATGTAGAAAAGTAAAACTGTAGAATTATTTATAATTTTAGGATTTATTAATTTTTCTTCTTTGACATTTAAAACATAGTTAACAAGATAAAAATGATGTTAACTGCCAAGAATGATAACGATTTCTCAGAGAGAGGAAGAGGAGAGAGCAGGAGAGGAAACTGGGGCAGATCCGGGCCAACCCCGTCATGCCCGTCCAACCTCACAACGGCGCAGCCATGCCGCCTCCTCACCACCAACCACCCATGGCGTCTGTGGCCCCACCCCAGTCATACCTGCCCCCACAGCCTCAACCCCAACCTCCCCCATCCAGACCGGAGAAGCTGGCCAGTCTGCAGACGCCAGCTGTCCCCT